CCTGCTTATTTCCCCGCTACAGGCCACCCCTCCCACCTCCATCTCCACTCACCTTGCCACAAAACCATACCAGTTTACTTGTCTTGCAAAGGCACCCCACTTTTTCTCCCCATGCCCCCGCCCCCCGCATTTGCTCAGTTCTTCACCTTTGCCTCAAACAGCCTTCTCTTCCCGGGCTCTTCTGCCTACTTATTTTAACATCCAGCTTGAAAGCCACCTACTCCAAGGACCCTCCCTTTCTTTCTTCCCTTCCTTCCTTCCTTCCATCCTTCTTTCCTTTATGACTCCACTTGTACCTAGCATCATTGCAGTGAAAGTTACAATTTAGAAGTTTCAAACTATAGTATCGCTAGAACCTGTGCTGATTTTATAAATACAGCTTATAACTTCATAAAGGAGCTCCCCTGAGATTTCTTACCTTTGAACATCTTGCATTTGAAATCTGCCTTTTTAAAAATTGTCGTCAAGAACACATGATGTAAGATCTACCATCATAACCATTTTTGAGTGGGCAGTTCGGAAGCATTAACTATATGCATATTGTTGTGCAACAGATCTCTAGAACTTTTTCATCTTATAAAAGGAAAACCCTATATCCGTTGAAAAACAACTCCCCTTTACCCTCTCCCCAGGGGCCCTGGCAACCAGCATTCTACCCTCCAGGTTCTAAAAATTTGATTACTTTAGATACCTCATGTAAGTGGAATCAAGCAGTATCTGTCTTTTTGTGACTGGTTTAGCTCACTTAGCACAATGTCCTCAAGGCTCATCCATGTTGTAGCATATGATAGGATTTCTTTATTTTTTAAGGCTGAATAATATTCTATTGTATGTGTGTGCACATTTTCTTCATCCATTCATCTGTCAGTGGACACTTGGCTTGCTTCCACCTCTTGGCTATCATGAATAATTCTGCAATGAACACGGGTGTGCAAATATCTCTTCGAGATCCTGCTTTGAATTCTTTTGGATATATACCCAGAAGTAGGACTGCTGGATCAGGTGGTAATTCCATTCTTAATTTTTTGAGGAAC